GAGAGAGGGAGAGAGAGGGTAGAGAGCAGAGAGGGAGAGGGAGAGAGAGGATGAAGGGTAGAGAGAGAGGAAAAGAGATGGGAGAGAGAGCGATAAAGAGAGAGAGAGAGAGAAAGCGAGGTAGAGAAAGGGGGAAAGATATATAAAGAGAGAGAGAGAGGGGTGGGAAGAGATAGAGAGTAAACAAGGAGAAAGAGCTTAGTCTCACACTTCACAGCCGGTGGCTCGCAGCCCACTGTTTTTTACTCTCAGTTAAACCGTCACTATAATAATCCATACACCTAAAATTAATTATTAGGTAGTCTCCACCTAATTCTCTTCTCTCGCGAGAATTTCTACTCTTTGCACTAATAGTGTTACACACGTAATATAAACACGATATGGCACGCCTGATTCTTCTCTCTTGAGACCTATCTTCGCTGACCTTCGAGCGAATGCTCGAGCTTCTTGCTCACAGTTGACTCACGTTTTCTATCTCCGTCTATTTTTAGACCGCCACTTCACGACTGCTGCTACACATTACTTCACCGCCTGCCAATCTATTATTTAATCTCGCGTTTTTTTCTTCTTCTAGCTTCTTACACTGCCGGCGGCTCGCACTACATCACTTCGAAATGTTTTTTCGCCGATGACGTATGGCGTGACGTAACGTGTAGCGCAGTCGTTGATTCGCGGAGAGGTAGATGACGTTTACATATGGAGATTTCTGCGTAGATGTAGACGATCTTTAACTTCGTATGAGATCATATTCCTTCACCTCAGAAAATCATATCACATTACATAACATCACACATCGTGCACTGACGCCGATGCCTCCTTCCTTGTCGACCTTATTAGCATTGGCTGCCGCTAGATGGCGCCGATGCTGGCGGATGTGCGCCGGCAGGATGAGGTCACGCGGGCGGATGAGGTCATCAGGTGTATCCGGTTTCTAGAGAAGATCTAGAGAATAATGAAGAAAAAGTTGTAAATATGTTTAAACAAAATTTTGAGTAAACATATATTTATTGTGAAGTTAAAATAGAGAAGGGAAAAGAAAGAAGGACATAAAACATAAAAAGAAATAAATATTGAGAGGGAGAAGGATATGGAGAGAAAGAAGAGAGAGGAGTGAGAGGAGAGAGGTGAGGGAGGAGAGCGAAGGAGAGAAGAGAGGATAGAGGAGAGAGAGAGGAGAGAGAAAGAGAGAGAGAGAGAGAGAGAAAGAGAGCGCGATAGACCCGATAGAGAGAGAGAGAGAGCGCGCATGAGAGAAAAAAAGAGAGGGTGAGAGAGAGAGAGAGAGCGAGAAAGAGAGAGAGAGAGAGCGAGAGAGAGAGAGAGAGAGAGAGAGAGACAGAGAGAGAGAAGGGAGAGGGAGAGTCAGAGAGGTTATAATTATTACTAAGGATAAGTAGTATAGCAGGTTCAGCCCGGCATTATAATCATCATCATCATTATCATCATCATCATCATCGTCAACATCTGCATCATCATCATCATCATCATCATTATCATCATCATAATCGCCATCATCATCATCATCATCATCATCATCATCATCATCATCATCATCATCGCCATCATCACTTACCTCGTTCTCGCGTACGCTCGTCGTCATCTCATATCCGTCTTCACAGTTTAATCCCTGGCAGTAGTACTTCGAGAAGGGCCCGTCCAGCACCGGCAACTCATTGCCGCTAGATGTCACCACGAACGCCTTCCAGCAGACGAAGCGCACGTAATTGCGCGGCACGTTGCGAGCGTCCGAATAAAAGAGCAGCAGTTTCAGCTCGCCCTTATCAAATTCGGTCACTACCGCCCACGCTTGCTTATCCCTGTCGTAGCACTGCGCACAGTTTCGTCCCTTTTCCAGCAGCGGGATTTTAACCTCGCTGATCGTACTAACCGATAACAATTCCATGCTTATCTTAATCTTGTGTTGTCGCACGAGGGAACCCATGTCGATGTTATTTAGCACGTACCCCTCTCCGGCTCCAGTTACGTCAAAAACATGTTCGATCGTATCGGAGGCCATGCAACGGTCTCCTTCTCCCAGGGTAAGCGTGTAGCGCAGTTTGCACGGGTGCTCGAAGTGCGTGTGGCGCGTGAGACAGATCAGAGGTTTACCCTGGTTGCTGTCGCCGTTCGGGAACAGACAAACGCTCCAGTCGTAGTTCCCGAACGTGAAATACGTCGATTCGTACTTCCTGGGGGTTCCGTGAGAGCGCGGTTGCGGATCGCAGGTGGCGCCACCGACGGGCAGCACGTGTTCGTACGTACTTCGCACGTTCTTCATGCACAACTCGACGAGGTACTCGTTGTTCCCATCCGTGTACTTCGCTCCGAGCAACTCGTCCAGACTCACAAACACCTTGCGTCCGTGCGTGTCCTGTTCGCGACAGAAGCGACAGGCGCGCAACGAGAACGTCTCGTTCTTACTGAAGTGGTGACGATGCAGCAGCGAGACGGAGTAGTCGAGCGTGACGATGACGCCGTCGCTGACGTCACGCAGGATGAGGAAGACGCTGATGTGCTTCTCCGTGCGCACGAACGACAGACACCAGCGGTGGTAACCGTAGATGAAGTCGCGAGTGAAGATGTCAGGGGTCAAAGGTCGCGTGACCTTGCGCGAGAGAAGGAAGGTGAAGATCTGAGTGTTCTGGCGATCGCAGACGCGAACGAAGCGGTGCAGCTGAGCCATGAGTGGGAGAGGGTGGGAGAGGGGGAGAGGGGGAAAGAAGGAGAGGGGGAGAGGATGAGGGGTAGAGAGGGCGGAGAGGGGAGAGGGGAGAAGGGGAGGGAGAGAGGGTGGGGAGAAGGCGCGGAAGAAAGGGCGAAGAGGGTGGGAGAGAGGGAGAGAGAGGGTAGAGAGCAGAGAGGGAGAGGGAGAGAGAGGATGAAGAGTAGAGAGAGAGGGGAAGAGATGGGGAGAGAGCGATAAAGAGAGAGAGAGAGAGAGAGAGAGGTAGAGAAAGGGGGAAAGATATATAAAGAGAGAGAGAGGGGTGGGAAGAGATAGAGAGTGAACAAGGAGAGAGAGCTTACTCTCACACTTCACAGCCGGTGGCTCGCAGCCCACTATTTTTTACTCTCAGTTAAACCGTCACTATAATAATCCATACACCTAATATTAATTATTAGGTAGTCTCCACCTAATTCTCTTCTCTCGCGAGAATTTCTACTCTTCGCACTATTAGTGCTACACACGTAATATAAACACGATATGGCACGCCTGATTCTTCTCTCTTGAGACCTATCTTCGCTGACCCTCGAGCGAATGCTCGAGCTTCTTGCTCACAGTTGACTCACGTTTTCTATCTCCGTCTATTTTTAGACCGCCACTTCACGACTGCTGCTACACATTACTTCACCGCCTGCCAATCTATTATTTAATCTCGCGTTTTTTTCTTCTTCTAGCTTCTTACACTGCCGGCGGCTCGCACTACATCACTTCGAAATGTTTTTTCGCCGATGACGTATGGCGTGACGTAACGTGTAGCGCACTCGCTGATTCGCGGAGAGGTAGATGACGTCTACACATGGAGATTTCTGCGTAGATGTAGACGAGCCTTAACTTCGTATGAGATCATATTTCTTCACCTGACAAAATCATATCACATTACATAACATCACACATCGTGCACTGACGCCGATGCCTCCCTCCTTGTCGACCTTATTAGCATTGGCTGCCGCTAGATGGCGCCGATGCTGGCGGATGTGCGCCGGCAGGATGAGGTCACGCGGGCGGATGAGGTCATCAGGTGTATCCGGTTTCTAGAGAAGATCTAGAGAATAATGAAGAAAAAGTTGTAAATATGTTTAAACAAAATTTTGAGTAAACATATATTTATTGTGAAGTTAAAATAGAGAAGGGAAAAGAAAGAAAGACATAAAACATAAAAGGAAATACATATTGAGAGAGAGAAGGATATGGAGAGAAAGAAGAGAGAGAGTGAGAGGAGAGAGGTGAGAGAGGAGAGCGAAGGGGAGAAGAGAGGATAGAGGAGAGAGAGAGGAGAGAGAAAGAGAGAGAGAGAGAGAGAGAGAGCGAGCGAGAGAGCAGGAGATTAAAATTAATACATGAGATTTATTTCACATTAAACGACCTTGTAATTCTACTCGAGGCAAAATACATGAATAATTAACACATGATGTACATTTCATTAAACGGACACATTCATACGTCCATTAATGATTAAAAACGGAGCATTTAGAGGCTTATGTAATCTCTCAGTGTGTGTGCGTGCATGCGTGTGTGTGTGTGTGTGTGTGTGTGTGTGTGTGTGTGTGTGAGAGTAGTGTGTAGTGTGCGTGTGTGTGTGTGTGTGTGTGTGTGTGTGTGTGTGTGTGTGTGTGTGTGTGTGTGTGTGTGT